ATTAGCCTCCGAACGTTATAGCGAAGACCCTGGGAGGGAAACGGGGGGAAACGTAGTGGGAAGGGAAAGGAACGGGGCAGAAGGGGCAGAAAAAAGGACGGAGGCAGAGACACATTAGAGAACTACGATACGACGGAATTACAGGATTTGAAACGTAGGCAGGTGGGGAAGAGAAGTACAAAGGAGAATAACGAATAAAAATACCAGATGTGATAATAACCGCATAGAGGAAACGCAATAATCTGGGCAAGGAAAGAAGAAAACATAAATGAGCTCGTATATAGTAGCGTTTTGATAGATACATAAACGAGCGAAAGAGTTTGACAGAGAGACCGAAGAGAGAGAGAGAGAGAGAGAGAGAGAGAGAGAGAGAGCGAGAGAGAGAGAGAGAGAGGAGAGAGAGAGAGAGAGAGAGAGAGAGAGAGAGAGAGAGAGAGCGAGAGAGAGAGAGAGAGAGAGAGAGAGAGAGAGAGAGAGAGAGAGGAGAGAGAGAGAGAGAGAGAGGAGAGAGAGAGAGACTGACTTCAATAAACTATGGCTTCTAAAAAAAACATTCGTAGACTTATGAAAGACATATTCAAAAACCGCACGAAGGTAGGAGTGGAACCAATACGGAAGGAAGATAACATGCAATACGAGGACTATACGCGAGATGCGAGGAGAAGAAACATTGCAAGAAATGAGACAGAAAGAGCCTGTAAGTATGACAGAAAAAAACACACACACACACATAACTACGAGAAGATGGGGCACAGATACTAGAAAAACCGAAAGAAGAGCGTCTAAGCTGATAAGAATAAAAAGGAAGGAGGAAAACGACATGATAGAGAAATGAGAGGATAGTTCTAGGAGTTAAGAGCGTGAGCAGCACAGTTGGACTTACGGGAGAAGACACATTATTTAAGAACGACCTAACGGTTCCGTCGAAATGGACGATATCCTTAAAAACGATTAAGTTTCTAGATAACTTAGAACTTACTGGTTCAAATTAGAGAAAAGAACATGAACGAAACTGCTCCTAATATTTTCTTGAAGTCTAAAAAGAACTAGCAGACGTTAGTACGTACGCTAGTCCTTAAATTCTTACCTAGTAAGTATATGACTGCTGCAGTCGTAGGAGGAGCGGGAGTTGAGGGAGACGCGGGAGGAAACTAGGGCATTGACGATCCAGAAAGAGTTGAGGGAGACGCCGGGTTCGGTTCTTGCCGCGGCCTTCTGTATCAATGCAACATTTTCAACAGGTGCGTGTTTTTAATTTTTACCCCTCGAAGTTAGTTGTGGAAGCACAGTGGTATGGATTTCGAATCAGAAGCCGTTGGTCTCCGGTTCGATTCTTGCTGCTACCTTTTCATGTCAACACAATATTGGATATGTGTCATGTCTAAGAAATCTAGGAAAGTACGTAGTAGAACAAAATATATTATTTACAAATATTATTTACAAATAAGCTTCGCAACCCTATGTCGACTTGGTCGCCTCTTGTTTTTTTTTTTTTTTTTTTTTTCTATTTGAGTCGGTCAAACCTTTGTGGTAGTTGCTAATACCGTCATCGCCCGGATATAAGACATATATGTCTTATTGTCAGAATGTTATTATTGTCTAGCCTGTAGTGGGGTGCTCTATAGCGAGTACAACCCAGTTAGGGTTTGCTATATGTACCCCAACTGCTGCTAGTGAAATCCTCTCTCCTTTCAATCATTCTTGCCTAGTTCTATCAACATGCTATCAGAGCAGGTCGACCCTCCTGGGTCGATCCTGTGGGTGGGCCCACCACCTAAGCCTTCCGCTGCTACTGCTACTCCCTGTCCGCCGCGCGCCCCGTGGCGCGCGGCGTCGAAACTAGGGTTTTCAGCCCGCCGTGCGCCCCGAGGCACGCGGCGGTTTTCTGCCCGCCGTGCGCCCCGAGGCGCGCGGCGGTTCTCTGCCCGCCGTGTGCCCCGAGGCGCGCGGCGGGTTCCTGCCCCGTCACTCGGCACGTCGCCCCCGGGAGGCGCTGCGACGGGCGACGGGGACCCGCGCGTCGCCCCCCGTCGCCCGTCGTGGCCTGCGCGCGGCCCGTACACCCGGCACGCGGCCCGTACGGGCTGCGCCAGGCCCGCGCGCGGCCCGTACGGGCTGCGCCAGGCACGCGCGCGGCCCGTACGGGAAGCGCCAGGCCCGCGCGCGGCTCGGGCCGCCTGCGCGCGGTTCGGGCGGCTCTACCAGGCCCGTGGGCGGCCCGTTCCTCGCTGCTCCTGCCCTCTCCACTGTCCCCCGTGCTTCTACCGGCGCCTCACCCCTCCTACAGCCCGTTCTCCTAAATTAGGGTTTGGGGGTGAAGAGTGTGGGGGTGGCGGCTATGGGGGTGTCGGTTGTGAGTTCCTCCCCCTGCTCCTCCTCCTCCCTCGTCTCCCTCTGCTACAGCTGTCGCTGAGGGGGGGTGGTGTGTGGGAGCCTAGGGTTTGGGGTTTAAGGGGGGTACCGGGGTACCGTCGGAGCTAGGGTGTCAGCAGGGGGTGTGTGAGAGGGGCGTGGGACGGTCGGGGGAGATTGCGTGGAGGTAGCCGTCGTGACGCCAGCAGCGCCAGTAGTCCGGATGCCCTCGCGCGTTTCGGTAGCCCAGCGAGCCTGCTTCGCCAGTCGCCTGTGGGTCCGTTGCTCCTGTGTGTGCTCGTCGTAGCCGCGGAGCCAGATACTCCCGTAGTCCGGTGCCCTCGTGCGCTCGGTAGCCACTGTGCGCGCCGCTCCTGTTGCCCGTGTGTCTGCAGCTTCAGTCGGCGCCTTTCATCTTCTCTCCTCTCGCCAGCCCTCCTCCTCCTCGCTTGCCCTCTGTGACTGCCTCTAGCTTTGCTCATAACTGTGAACTTTAAACTATTGCTTCTTGAACTTGTGCTCAGAATGTGTGGTGACATTGTGATCCACCCTGAGCTTGTACTGCTTTGCTTGCTCTGCTGATTACACCCCACTTTGGCTATGGGGGTGTGTCAGAATGTTATTATTGTCTAGCCTGTAGTGGGGTGCTCTATAGCGAGTACAACCCAGTTAGGGTTTGCTATATGTACCCCAACTGCTGCTAGTGAAATCCTCTCTCCTTTCAATCATTCTTGCCTAGTTCTTCTGAGACTTATCTCGTACACGGGCAAAAATGCTTGGGTTATCTTGTATTTGGGACGGTTTAGGGTGTCTTATAAGTCTTATAAATGGACAAAGAACCGTTTAGAAGATACCCCCTCGTTATACAATTGCCCCTAACCCCCACACTTGCCTAACCAGTACACAGAAATAGGTGTCTTATAATAAGGCTAGCCTGTTTATAAGAGACACCCGTATAATAGACAACCCCTGTCTACTATTCAACACTGTCTTATATCCGGGCGATGACGGTACCACCTCTCTGCTTTTTTTTGCTATGCTCCAGGGATTTGATACCTATTGGACTCTTGTTTCGGCATCTTGGTTTGCGATTCTCTGTGTCACTAGCTTGAAGAATTCATCGCCAAATGACTGCTCCTTTTTGCAAATAGAGCCGGTGGTTCCGGAGCTTACAGAAGCATTGGCCACATCTGGACAGGTTCCTTTCTTGCTTCCTCCACCACAACTTCCTTCCGTGCATGGGGGTGTTGGGTCTTCTGTCGTAAGAGGTGACACTTTTGTGTAAATATATTATAAACCGCGGAAGAAGCAGTTCCTAGCCTGCAAGCATTGCAGGATGATGAAAAGGTTGGATGTAGGGAAGGATCATATATTCATGCTTGTAAAGGTGGCGTGTAATACATACAGCAAGGCTCTCAGCTTATGATTTTATTAAGGTGTATGCCAATGACGGGTACGATCATTGTGCTTGAATCATCAGGATTTGAACGGCTCATGCTGACTGTCACATCTTTCACTGCTTCCGTTCTTCATCTCGTCATCTCATTACCAGCGAAACTAGTTCCTGACAGCCTTCCTGGTATGCTACCTCCCTTGTTTAGTCCATCACTTCGTACTGGTTACTCCTGACTCCTACTCCATTTTCATGTCAAACACTGCTAATCCAATCATCCTCTCAGATCCTTCCGATTCCCAATCTGAAGCTCTACGATCTCCATCTTAGCTGCGATTTCCTGCGATCTAGGTGTCAGAGGATTCTGTCAGCATGCGTCGCGGTTCGCATTCCGCCTTACCATTTCCTCCGTCGCAGCTCCTCTCGTTCCTCGATTCCGCCGCGCTGTGTCGTGGCTCTCCAAGGATAGGAGTGAATTCGGCGGTTCTAGGAGGAGTGTCAGCTACTGCAGCATCACCGATCGCAACCGTGACGACAACCGCAGCTACAACAGAAACTGCAACACCGAGAAGAGCAGAAACCGCGGGAACACCGGCAACAACAGCGACACGATCGACAGGATCGACAGCGACGGCGATATGGCTAGCCAGATCCACGTCAGCGCAATCATTGCCAGTTAGATCCGATCCAAGCCGATCGAAGTTGGAATGTGTTGGGAATCGCAGTGCGGCTTTTCCTCTCCCCTCCTCTCGTCGCGATGCGCTGTTCGCCTCTCCTCTCGCCGCGACTCATTCCTTACGATCTCTTAGTGGAACGTGTTACAGGGACACCGGGATAGTCGTAAGCGAAAGAGCACAGGCGTGCATAATTAGTACTACGATCATCGGATCGCGGTCCATCGCTACTAATACCACCGGATCGTCCATTTTGCTGTCCGGTTCGACAGCTTCCCCGTCAAGTGACACGTCGGATGCCACGTCAGACCCATCCCTCCCGCCAATCAAGCCGTACAACGCGCTGTTTCGCGATCCTCCGAAGCCTCTAGGCATTGGTCCCAATCCCAAAGTGGTATCTACACCCAAGGGAGGGGTATACGGCGCGGTGCTGGGCGTTCTAGGGTACTATTCCAAGGAGAGTGAGTTAATCCGCGGCGCGAACGCGCTCTACAAGGCGGTGACGCGTCAGGCTGACGACGAGATGTTCTTAAGAGGTGGGCTGTGGTTATGCGACCGGATGATCCCGATTCCCCAGATCAATGATATTTGAGATCAGTGATCTTGGAAGTTCGTCTCGTGAAACTTTACCGCCTAAAACGCACCTACTCCTCGCAACTTCCAGTCCCTCACCCCGACGTCTCCTCCCCCCACTCCCTCCCCCCAAACTCCCCACAGCCCTCGGCCTCCCCTCGCAGTTCCGCACGCACCACGCGCTGCTCGTGCTGCACACGTGGCTGGCGCTCCTGCGCCTGCGCAAGGAGGGCGCGCAGGGGGCGGCGGTGGGGCAGACGTTGTACGACACGTTCAATCACGACGTGGAGCGGCGCGTGGTGGCGGCGGGGGTGAAGCTGCTGGTCAGCAAGTGGATGCGCGAGCTTGAGAGGAGTTTCTATGGTGCTGCCGCAGCTTATGATGCGGCAGTGGCGCCTGGCGCGAGCGCTGACGCACTGCCCAAGGCTCTCTGGCGGTGAGTGCGGTGGGTGGGTGTGGTGGGACAGATGGTGGGGCAGGCAGTGTGGCAGATGGTGGGGCGGACAGTAGGGGAGGCGGTGAGGCAGACGTACGACACGTGCAATCACGACGTGGAGCGGCGCGTGGTGGCGGCGGGGGTGAAGCTGCTGGTCAGCAAGTGGATGCGCGAGCTCGAGAGGAGCTTTTACGGCGCGGCTGCGGCCTATGATGCGGCAGTGGCGCCTGGTGCCAGCGCTGACGCCCTCCCCAAGGCGCTCTGGCGGTGAGTGCTACGCTTTTCAGGTGGGTCTCAGGAATTTCTGCTGTGGTGGTGAGTGGTACGCTTTTCAGTGGATGCAGGGGTGAAGCTGCTGGTCAGCAAGCGGATGCTTGAGCTCGAGCGGAATTTCTGCTTATGATGCGGCTGTTGTACCTGGAGCTAATGAACTGCTACGTCTGTTTTTTTAGATTTCTCAGTCTGTTTTTTGAGAATTCTCAAACAACACCCTCCCGGTTTCACCCCTCATGAACTGCTACGCAGGAATGCGTTTGCAGAGGACCCATCTGACATGCCCTCCGGCCCTGCAGCTTCATGAGAACATGTGTTTTTTTTTGGCTTTTTAAAGCCCTCGTTTTTTCTCCATGCTCGGCTTCACCCCTCCCATGCTACCGTGCAGCAATGTGTTTGCAGAGGACGCGTCTGACATGCCCTCTGGCCCTGCAGCTTCAAGAGGCCTCTGTTTTGTTTTCAGGCCCTTTGAAGCCCGTGCTTTCTTTTCCCTGCTCGGCCTCTCCCCTCTTCAACTGCCGTGCAGCAATGTGTTTGCAGAGGACGCGTCTGACATGCCCTCCGGCCCTGCAGCTGCTCCCGTGCAGGTGAGTGAGAGGGGTGGTTGGTGGTAGAGTCATGTAAGATAGGTGAGAGGTTGCTAGCACGTGAGGGACTGGTGGTGCTGTGCACGTGAGGGACTGGTGGTGCTGTGCACGTGAGGGACTGGTGGTGCTGTGCACGTGAGGGACTGGTGGTGCTGTGCACGTGAGGGACTGGTGGTGCTGTGCACGTGAGGGACTGGTGGTGCTGTGCACGTGAGGGACTGGTGGTGCTGTGCACGTGAGGGACTGGTGGTGCTGTGCACGTGAGAGGTTGGTGTTGTTGTGCAGTTTAGGGACTGGTGCTGCTGTGCTTCCACACCAACCCCAACTCACTCTACCCCCACCTTCACCATCCCGAAGCATCGCCATCCAAACTTGATTCCTCTCTCCATCCATATTGTTCCTCTCTTTGGAGTTAGTTCGTTACCCCCTCGCACCCGTTTCTTCCTGCTTCTCGCTGGTTACCACCTGCAGGCCTTGACACGTTACGTGCGGCTTGAGCTCGCCTCCCTTGCACTCACAGGTGAGGTGGTGTGGTGTGGAGTGGTGTGGTGTGGTGTGAGGTGAGGTGAGGTGAGGTGAGGTGAGGTGAGGTGAGGTGAGGTGAGGTGAGGTGAGGTGAGGCCAAGCCTCAGCAGGCTTTTTGTGTGGTCAAACGCCTTTCAGTCCCACTTGTATGCTGTGCGCGACATAAGGAGAGGTTTTAGTCAACTCCAACTGGTGTGCTGTGCGCGCCATGCTGGTTTAGCTGATCTTGTGGAATGAAGCCAACCATGCTGGCTGGCTGGCTGGCTGGCTGGGGAACTGCTTGCTGTATTGATTGCTTTTTGTGATAATCTCTCAATTCAAGTTGCTGTGTAATCTGTCTTTTTTCTGTTTCCCGTTCATTCTCTGTTTTTTCAGACTCAGAGGCCATTCTCACGGGAAACATCACCTTCACCAATACAATTCATTCAGAGTCCTGAATTCTGTGCAACAGCAATTATAAGTCATCGTAACACTTCATACGGTACACTTATGTGTAATATGCAGGGTCTACTAACAAAAGTGGCAAGCCTTCGCATTGCAAGCCTTAGACAATCTACAGACATAAAAGAAGATAGCGACCTGTGGATAACCTTTCCTGCAACCTGTTTAAAAGGCTTCACAACCCCCACTGGTTTCGCCTCTCTGACTCCTCAACCACATGTCCCACCATCTCCTCACCGGCCTCATGGATTGCCCCTTCTCACGCCTGTCTCCTGTACCACTCCCCCTCCACTTTCTCATAGCCCCCGTCAGCCCCCCAGGAGGCAGTGATCCGCTTCACCTCGCCCTCTCCCACCAGCCCAGCGCCCACCACCCACGACACAGAGAGCACGAATGGCCTCCCTGCCACCAGCTGCAGCGAGCGAGGGGCGCACATCACCACCTGCTGGGGCAGAGAAACCACCACATACCGCTCCTCGTCTCCTTGAGGCACCCGCCCCATGAACCCTGCTGCCGCCGCCGCTGCTGTGTCGGCAGCAGCAGCGGTAGTGCCGTTCGGGTTCCATTCCTCTGCCCAGGACACGTTTTCTCGCTCCTGAACCAGCAGGTTGCGGGTCAGAACAGTGCAGGTTCCCACCACAGTCTTGTCGTTTAGTGCCGGAACGGGCGGCAGGTGGTCGGGCAGCCCCAGTCTTCCGGGCGGTGTTCGTTGTTGTCTAGTGTCTCTTCTACCGCGACTGAGGTTCTGAGGGCTCCATCTGCCTGGTACTGAATGCTGCAGGCTAGACGGGTCGTGGTTGCTGGATAGAGGTGAAGGGGGGTTGGGTGAGGGGCGCACAGGGGGAAACAGAGTGCGGATGGGATGGGACGAAACAGGTGAGGTTCTGAGGGCTCCATCTGCCTGGTACTGAATGCTGCAAGCGAGACGAGTTGTGGTTGCTGGGTGTGGAGGGGGTGCATGGGGGAAGACAATACTCTGATTGGCGACGTTCTCTGAAGGCTCCATCTGAAGGCTCCATCTGAAGGCCCCGTCCCGTCCGCCACCTCAACAGGCCCCCAGATGGCGTCCGCGTGTGGACAGCAATCTACGTTGTTTTGATTTAATTAGACTAGGGCCGATGACTCACTGTGCGCAAAGAAGAACTCCATGAAAAAAGGCAGCATCATCCCCCCCGCCCCGTCCGCCACCTCAATAGGCCCCCAGATCGCGTCCGCCTGCCGGCTCACAGCGTATCGGCGCGAGTTGCTGGCCACCACGTGGCAGAATCCGTCCGGTAGGCTGTGCTGCGCGAGCGACATGTCCCATTGGACACCGACCTTGGGCATATACGAAGGCGCCTCGCCCCGAAAGTCGTACCAATCATTCTGACAGGGAAGTGGGGGATGGCAGGGGAGGGAGCGTACTGAGACGCCCACAGGCTGTGCTGTGCAAGCGACATGTCCCACTGCTCGCCCACCTTGGGCATGTACGCAGGCGCCTCGCCCTGAAAGTCGTACCAATCGTTCTGGTTGAGGAGGAGGAGAGGAAAGGGAAGCGCCGCTTCACAATGTTTAAAGAACTTTGAAAGGGGTGGGAGAGTGTGAGGGAGAGTGTGAGGGAGAGTGTGAGGGAGACGCATGGGGGAGACGTATGAGTCGACTTAGAAGTAGGTGGAGAAGAAGGGGCAGAAGGGGATGATATGGGATGGGTGGCGGCCTCCCAGAAGCTCTGGCATTGGCAAGCTCACCACGTGGGCGTCTAGCATTGGCTTACTCACCACGTGGGCGTCTAGCATTGGCTTACTCACCACGTGGGCGTCTAGCATTGGCTTACTCACCACGTGGGCGTCTAGCATTGGCTTACTCACCACGTGGGCAAAGCTGCTGCGATCAGGTGACGTGGCCCACAGCTTCCGCACGGATTTCATGGATCGATTCTCGTCCGTTGATTCGAGCGGCTTCCACGATCGCCACAGGCCGTGTCAGTTACCCATCATGAATTCCGGCGTGCCCCACCACCAGTGCTCCTCCGGACTCATCTGGCGGAATGGCGCCGCTTCTCCGCCTTCCCCGCCGCCTGATGCGGGGACGGTGGCAGAGCCCATGGCGGCTGATGAAGCGGCGGAGGCTGACGTGGACGCGATGAGGGGTGATTGGAGGGAGAACGTGATTGGTCGGGGAAACGATGCGCTATGTTTGCGTGCACCTGAGGTATCATTGGGGAGACAAGAGGGAGGGAAGGCACAGACGGAATGCGGACGAGCGGATGAATGCACGTCCCCGACAGTGTTCAGGCGGGACTTGCTGAGTGGAAATTCACGGATAAAAAAAGCTCGCTGACCCGTGCTTAACACACTCGCAGCGGACAAGGAAGCAGAGCAGGATTTTGAAATTTGACGCAAATCAGGAAACAGTCTGGCCAATAGCTGCAATGCACCGCGGCAGCGGCTTTTGAGACGCCTCAAAACTCACCGCACGTTGCGGCTGGGAAATGACGGACATAGAAAGACCAGCGCATATCAAAATTGTACCTGTCAGGATCGCATTCGTCGCAACTGGCCACCCCGCAAACTCTGATAACGAGCGAATCGAACGAGAAGCCGCAACGCCGTGGAAGGCGCTCTCAGAAATGCTGCCGCTACTGATAGCCATGGCAGTCGAGGCGGCAAACGACATGGCTGTATGAGGAACGGCAGCAGGCGGCGACTGTGAGACGATGAGAGTGTGCTAGTCGAGATCAGTGCAACCAAATTATTAATTACTAGTTGTCGTCATCTCCGGTAGGTTCAAGCGAGGCTGTGTGTTGCCGATGGATGCAGTTACCTGGGATTGTAGATTAGGATAGCGCTGACGTGGCGCGACGTTGTTTGCTGTGAAGCTTTCCCCTATGCCCGGCACAGTCGGCGGACCACAGCATATTGCCGCTCGAGATTTCCAGAGAAATTTGGGGGAAATGCGCTGCGCAGACACGACAGCTCCTCTTGACTCCAATTTGCACTGGAAAGCTGTACGGTAAATGTTTTTGTAACATTCATGTTCATTGAAATTTTCCCTTATTTCTGAAATAGACATGGTGCTAAAGAGCATGTGTTAATTTGAAACATGAGATGGAAAAACCCCAAAAATTTTAAATTAAGTGTGAAGTGGTGGGAGAAACTTGAAATTTCAGTATACATTTGTCAGCGGGGTTCAGGGTTTTATTGTTTGCCTCAAGGTTTTGCCACAAATTTTCAAGTTCCTAAGGATTTTGAACCTCAGCTTTTCATATGAATACTGAAGCTAATACCGCGTTTGATGTGCTGGCTCTCTCCCCACGCAGATAGACGGTTTCTACGACGTCGATTTAGCCAGCACTCTCTCATCCTGACCACAGATCCTCACCCAACGCGTCACCAACAGACGTTTAGTTACCAGTTGCAGGAGGCGGGAGCTGAGGCGATTGGACGATAAGCATTAGCTCGAAACGAAGTGGCGAATCCAGTCCTTGGGATCGCCTTTGCCTCTTCACTTTTCGCAGCGGCCACGGCCCCCCACGCACGGCCACGGCCCACCTCAACACTTTCACGCCCCACCTCCCACGCAGCCCATCCCGGACTCAGGATCACAAGTTACGAAGTACAGTGCACCCTGTAACCCTAAGCACAGCCAAAAGCCCAAGGCCGAAACATGTATGGGTTTGATTTCGCTACCCTGGAGAGAAATTCGCGAACAATGAAGATGCGTCCGCAATCAGCTGTCGTCCTCCAATCATCCTCTCCACGAACTCCAAACTCCGTCGTTACACGTTTCGTTCTTGATTCCCAGTCCAACAGAGCACATCACATCCCAGCGCCTTAGCAGCAGTTGTGACCTGGCCACGTGTTAGTTGTCCTCCCGCGTTTCCAGCAGTCGTTAATCGCCACACCCAGAACCAGTCGCCAGCCATATTCTCGGACCCTTTCTTCTCCCTAATCGCCATGCCCTTTGTTCCTTGACTTCGAAATCTAGACCAGTTTCTGGGCCTCATGTAGGAGCCGCGTCGCGACAACGAGGACGGCTGGTTCTGGTCTGATCCGTTTCCTGCGAAATCGTTTCTGTGGCCCCCTTTTTCCCTTCACTCTTCCTGTCCAGCTTCCTTCTTGCCTTCCCTTCACGCGGGTGGATGGATTTGGCTTGGAAGTCCTACAATGTACAGTTCTAGTGGTTGCCTGCTCTTACATCCAATGTAGCTCAATCTTTGCTGGGAATAGCTGCACTGTGCAGTTTTAGCGGTGATTGAGCCGATCAGGCAAACAGCCTCACAGGAACTAATAGTAACAGTTCAGCCTTTTCACCAAGAGCGTTCGGATCTTCGCGAAGTTCTTTCGGTATTCGGGAAATCCAAAAAAAATCACGACTCAACCACCCACTTGGCCAGACCCCGTGTGTCGAAGTACGATTGCCGTTTCAAGCTTGTCGCAATCTCCGCCCATCCTCGATACCTTGGGGTTGCCGAGGACGACTTTCCCGAGTTCCGTATCGTCGCACCTCCGTCGTTGAAGTTCGCCAGAACCGCCGGCTCGCAATGGGTAACTGCTTTTCGTCCGTCAACGACGACGACGGCTGTCGCGCCTCAGCGCGCGAGCGACGCCGAGAGTCGCGGAGTAAGGGACAATCGCAGCAGAGTGGCCCTCTTTCAGGTGTGCAAGGGAGCATGACGGTGGGTGGTGGTGCATGACAGAGTGTGCGCGGTGGGTGCGGGGTGGGTACGCGGTGCGTATAGAGTTTTGGTAAAGAGGTACCACTACTTTTGAGTCGACTCAAAAGCTCCCCTGTCCAGCATCCGCTGTGGCAGGATTGCCAAACGTGACATTTCCTGAGTGATCACAGCGGCGTGATGGCACCGATTCCAACCGATGCAAACGCGATTCTTACCCTTCCCGCCTTCGCAGGACCGTCAGGCGGCGCGGCGAGCAGCAAGGAGATGGAGCGCCGCGTGGCGGCTTATCTGGCGGCGGAGCAGCAGCGGGACGGCCAGCTGGCACTGCTTACAAATCGGGGGACGGCGAATGGGTTCTTGCCACGTGTGCCACGTGCCACGTCGGACACGGACATCGCGAGCAGCGAAAACTGCAGTGGAAGCAGCAGCAGCAGCACTGACAGTAGCAGTGAACGCAGTAGTACCAGCAGCAGCAGCAGTGGCGGTGGCGGCTGCGGCGGCGGTGGTGGTGGGATGCAGCTGCACTGCAGCATGTTCTCGCTGGGCGGGCAGAAAGGCACCAACCAAGACGCCATGCTGGCCTGGCAGGTACCACACACCACCATCTCTTTCATCTCTTTCATCTCTTTCATTTCCCCCTTCCACCTCGCTCCTCCTTCCTGTGATGAAAGAGATGGTTTGAGACGTCTCAAAGGCTCCTCCTTCCTGCACTTCCCTCTCTTTTCTCTTTTCTTCTTCTTTTCTCCCCCTCGCCTTCTTTCTCCCCCCTCGCCTTCTTTTCTCCCCCTCGCCTTCTTTTCTCCCCCCTCGCCTTCTTTTCTCCCCCCTCGCCTTCTTTTCTCCCCCCTCGCCTTCTTTTCTCCCCCCTCGCCTTCTTTTCTCCCCCCTCGCCTTCTTTTCTCCCCCCTCGCCTTCTTTTCTCCCCCCTCGCCTTCTTTTCTCCCCCCTCGCCTTCTTTTCTCCCCCTCGCCTTCTTTTCTCCCCCCTCGCCTTCTTTTCTCCCCCCTCGCCTTCTTTTCTCCCCCCTCGCCTTCTTTTCTCCCCCCTCGCCTTCTTTTCTCCCCCCTCGCCTTCTTTTCTCCCCCCTCGCCTTCTTTTCTCCCCCCTCGCCTTCTTTTCTCCCCCCTCGCCTTCTTTTCTCCCCCCTCGCCTTCTTTTCTCCCCCCTCGCCTTCTTTTCTCCCCCCTCGCCTTCTTTTCTCCCCCCTCGCCTTTTTCTCCCCCCTCGCCTTCTTTTCTCCCCCTCGCCTTCTTTTCTCCCCCCTCGCCTTCTTTTCTCCCCCCTCGCCTTCTTTTCTCCCCCCTCGCCTTCTTTTCTCCCCCCTCGCCTTCTTTTCTCCCCCCTCGCCTTCTTTTCTCCCCCCTCGCCTTCTTTTCTCCCCCCTCGCCTTCTTTTCTCCCCCCTCGCCTTCTTTTCTCCCCCCTCGCCTTCTTTTCTCCCCCCTCGCCTTCTTTTCTCCCCCCTCGCCTTCTTTTCTCCCCCCTCGCCTTCTTTCCTCCCCCCTCGCCTTCTTTTCTCCCCCCTCGCCTTCTTCTTTTCTCCCCCCTCGCCTTCTTTTCTCCCCCCTCGCCTTCTTTTCTCCCCCCTCGCCTTCTTTTCTCCCCCCTCGCCTTCTTTTCTCCCCCCTCGCCTTCTTTTCTCCCCCCTCGCCTTCTTTTCTCCCCCCTCGCCTTCTTTTCTCCCCCCTCGCCTTCTTTTCTCCCCCCTCGCCTTCTTTTCTCCCCCCTCGCCTTCTTTTCTCCCCCCTCGCCTTCTTTTCTCCCCCCTCGCCTTCTTTTCTCCCCCCTCGCCTTCTTTTCTCCCCCCTCGCCTTCTTTTCTCCCCCCTCGCCTTCTTTTCTCCCCCCTCGCCTTCTTTTCTCCCCCCTCGCCTTCTTTTCTCCCCCCTCGCCTTCTTTCCTCCCCCCTCGCCTTCTTTTCTCCCCCCTCGCCTTCTTTTCTCCCCCCTCGCCTTCTTTTCTCCCCCCTCGCCTTCTTTTCTCCCCCCTCGCCTTCTTTTCTCCCCCCTCGCCTTCTTTTCTCCCCCCTCGCCTTCTTTCCTCCCCCCTCGCCTTCTTTTCTCCCCCCTCGCCTTCTTTCCTCCCCCCTCGCCTTCGTTACTTATCCCCTGCCCCTACTCATTTCCCTTCGCCTCACGATCCCCCCCACTGTTCCCCTCCCCTTGGCGGCAGTCCTTTGCGGGACCCGCCTCCGTGCTGTGCGCCGTCATGGACGGCCATGGCCGCTTCGGCCACACAGTATCAGCTCGCGTGAGGGACTCCTACCCCTCGCTGCTCTCTCAACGCCTCTTCCCACACGCCTATGGTGCTGACGCCACGTCACCTTCTGATGCTGACAACGCATCGCAATGTGATGATGGTGCGTCAGTGGGGGGCGCTGCACACGTGGCGGAGCGGCAGTGGAGGGAGGCCGTATGCGGCGCGTTTGAGGCCGTTGATCGCGAGGTGAAGCTGCATCCGGCCGTTGATCCGCTCATCAGTGGCAGCACGGCGGTGGTGGCGATGGTTCAAGTAAGTCGGCCTTTGCAGCCGTCCCATCACCCATGGCAGCTCTTGCCCCATGAGGAGGCGTTTGAGACGTCTCAGGAGTCACCTTCTGCTACCCTGTCCTCCGCCCTCCCCACGCCTACCCACCTCTTTCTCGCCAACCTGGGAGATTGGGTCTTCAAGCATTCTGAGATATAAGCTCATTTCGTTTTCTCCCACCTTGTTCCTCCCGCCCTTGCCAGCACGATCAGCTCTTCCTCACTAACCTCGGGGATTCGCGCGCCGTGCTCGCTAGACGAGCACACTCTCCTGCTTCCTGCGACGCCACGTCAGCTGCTGATGTGGCTCCCTGTCATTCTGCCACGTCAGCCACGGCCGGACCCACAGCAACCGGTCCAACCCACCACCACCACCACCAATCAGATCAATCCAGCTGTCACGCTCCTGTCACCTGTCAGGCTCTCGAGGCCGTCGCCCTGACTACCGACCACAAGTGCTCCGATCCGGCGGAGGCCGCCCGGATCCGAAAAGCGGGTGGCAGAGTGGAGGCGCTAGAGGACGAGAAACACGTCCAGAGGATTTGGCTGCCCAATGAGATGGCGCCAGGGCTCGTCACGTCCCGGGCAGTGGGCGATTTCCTGTTGAAGGGATTTGGAGTGACCTGCCAGCCTGATGTTACCGTGTTACCAGTGGAGGAAGGGGACGAATTCGTCATTCTGGCGACCGACGGGGTACGAAAGATTCTCCTGACCAGAATCTAGGTTTCTTTTCTGTCTATGTCCCTCCATCATAGACCCAGTGCCCTTCATTTCCCAATTTCCATCCCTATCCCTATCCTAACCCTATCCTTGATCTGTAGTCGCTAAACTCGCCTCTCTCCATTGTCCCCTCTTCCCCCCACCACCAGGTGTGGGACGTGCTCTCTCACGAGGAGGCTGTCTCTATCGTTGCCACGTCACCATCCCCTGCCACGTCAGCGGAACGCCTGGTGACGTCAGCGCAGGAGACCTGGGCGGCCAAGTATCCCAAGGCGCGGCGAGATGACTGCACCGCTGTGGTGCTCTTCCTCCGTACCTCCCTGCCGAACCTGATCCCAGACCTGCCGTGCCCTGGTCCGGGAGAAGCTGGCTCGGGCGAATCTGTCGGAGCAGGAGAGGTTGGGCAGTGCGTGGCAATGGAGACTGCTCCAACTGGTTTGACTGCGTTGACTAGTTTGACTAGTTTGACTAGTTTGACCAGTTCATCTGGAGAATGGGCCCATGTGGCATGTTCTTCCCGAGAAGCCTCAAAGGGAAGCAGCAAGAGCAGCAGCAGCAGCAGTATTACCCCTGTGGTTTTTGACCCGCTGGTTGAAAACCCAGGTACTAGCAGCAGCAGTGGCAGCGGCAGCAGGAGGAATAGTAACAGCAGCAGAAACAGCAGCGGTAACGGCACAAGAGACATCATCGATGAGAGCTGCAAATGTGGACACTTGAGTGAGCAAAGCCCTGGTATGGAGTTAGGAACCACTGACACTGCGGCCGCCGCTGCTGCCACTGCTGCTGTCGCAGCCGCAGTACCAATTGTAAATGCAAACTCGCCATACCGTGCAACAGATGCAGGGGAAGAGGATGCGGCAGTAATGGCAGGTGAAGGTTCCGTGCATTCCAATGCAGGCTCTGATGTTGCGGAACAAAGATTTACAGGACGGCATGGAGATGCAGTGTTCACAGATGAAGGGCTCAGATTTCATCGTAATGACACTGTTGGTGACCTGGCAGCGCTTGATTGGCAGGACGAGCAGGTTTTGGCGAAAAGAATGTTGAGGAGATACCAGGGGGGTGAAGAGGATGGGAAGGAGCAGCTGAAGCAGGGCGTAAGGATAGGTGAATGAGGAGGGTTGGGAGGGCTGCGTAAGAAAGGACAAGGGAAGTGGAGTTGGCTTGGTCGGTTGGGAAATGGGAGAGACTTGGTTTTTTTTCTAGTCTGCAGAGAAAAAAGTGTTTGTTTTACATCCAAAACCTCTCAACGTTTCCAGACTACGCATGAAGATAGTCGGAAGGAAGGGAGAAATTGAGAAGCCTCACAGAGGAGCAAGGCATGGCATAAAGCATGGTGCAGTCCGTTTAAGCATCATGGTACAGGGCAAACATGCCCCAGATATTGGCGAGGGCTGCTCCCAGGAGATAGGGTTACAGTGCAGCACACCTTGTGCCATGTATGAAATTGCTCGTATACCATACCGTAAGATGCTTACCTTATGTGCTATGTATTGCAGTGCTAAATCACACCTACATGGTGGTTGGCGGATGTGTTTTTATACTACAGACCTTATAACACTGTATAGCATAGAATGAGCCTGCATGACGAGCTAAGTATCCCTCTACAGTCTCTTTTTCACTAGTGCTGTTTAGAGGTAAGGTAGTATGGCTATTTCTGACCAAAGGTTAGACCTATTTCCTTACAAAAATACCAGCGTACATAGTAAACATATAGGGTATGCATATATGACAGGGTACAGGCACATCGGGGTACCGGCACGTCAGGGTTGGCAGGGGGTACAGGCACAACAGCGCACTGCTAATGCGATGTCTCGTTGTACGGTGATCAGGTGAAGCCATGCAGCGGTCACTTCACGTCACGTGGTTCTGGGCAGTGAAGGCAGCTCCCAGGCAAGGAGAAGCACTCTTGAGAATTCTCAAAGGCGTTTCAACTACCGGTAAGCAGCGGCGGCGATCACTTCAGGAGGATTCCTTCCAGCGGTCGAGTCGAGGAATCTCCTCCAGGTGAATCTCCTTTGAGCATTCTCACGAGTGATTCAACCGAGCAGCAGCGGCTGGTCCGTTGAGTTCACGCGGTATCGGTAGCGGAGGGAGCTGCAGCCTCCAGGTGCCGCAATTTTTGAGACGCCTCAAAAGGAAAGCGAATTTGGTAGCAGCCCAAAAAGTGCTCTCTAACCAAGCAGCAGCGGTTGGCCCCCTCATGCAGTCTCGGGGAGAGGAGGCAGCTCCAAGTGCAGCCCAGTACCGATCACAGGGCACGGCCGCACAAACGACACTTCGCTCTCCGTCGTGTGCAAGTCACCGTCAGGGCACTGGGAGGCATGGGGGTAGCATAGGGGAAAGTGTGAGAGGTATTAGCATGGACTAGCGGGTGTTGGAGCGCCTTTTTGAGACTTCTCAAAAATTAATTCAGTGTAGCTGACTGAATATTGATGCGGACGGAGAGAGAGAGAGCACAGCAACATGAGAGAGAGGAAGAAAGAGGGCTTACTGTGAACTTTGGGTGGATGGAGAGGGAGCAGGGCTGTGACTCGGTGCGCTGGCGCACAGGCCGGTTGTTGGAGCAACTTTTGAGGATTCCCAAAGATGAATCCAACGAGGGGGAAAGGCGAAGGGCTCACCGTGAATTTTGGGCGGATGGAGAGGGAGCAGGGCTGCGACTCGGTGCGCTGGCACACAGGCCGGTTGTTGGTACGCCAGTCCGCCTGCCCACGCTTCACGATGTTGAGCGACCATGGGTCTAGGGATCCCAGCGCTGCTGCCGTGTACCTGCAGGGGAGCAAGCAGAAAGCAAACTTGAGGCAGCTAAGCAGTGTTGACTTCGGCCAAAAAAAAAAAAAAAAAAAAAAAAAAAAAAAAAACTATGACTCTTGTTTTAGGGAACTCAAGAAGGCGCAACGGCAGTGGGTGTACCCGAAGGTGGAGTAGTCGGAGACGAGGAGGCGGTGAGAGAAGGAGAGGAGGAACATCTCAACCAGCGCTGATTAAGTTTCCAGGACTTATGAGACTTTCAGGAAGCAGAGCAATGGTGGCTTTACCCGAAGGTGGAGTAGTCGGAGACGACAAGGCGGTGAGAAAAGGAGAGGAGGAACATCTCGATGAGCGCTGATGCGTACTGCTGCCTGTCGTCCTGCCTCTCGGCTGCATCGTGTGACTCGCTGCAGGTGAGGAGTGGAGGAGGGGGTAGAGGGTGAGAGGGGGAGTGGGAGGGAGTGAGGGGGAGGAGAGAGAACTGAGAGAGAAATGGGAGAGAGAGAGAGAGTCGCGAAAGAGGGGAATAATAACACGAGCTCGAGTCGAGGCACAGTTTACGGTGTGGATGGTTCAGAAGAACAGAACAATCTTCAAACAGTGTAGAGCCATGTTAGTGTAATTTCTGAACATTACACAAAAGAAGTGGCGTTTGCTTGAGGAAAAGGGGAAGAGATAGCTGAGTGCGGTGCAGTGTGCTTACAGACGTCGGTATAGCTTATTTATAGGAGGGGAGACAGGCACATGTGGGTTACATATGTTTCACCCACCTGTGGAAGGTGACAGTCTGCGCTGACTGCGGTTTGCCTTGGGAGTAAAGGGCGGCGAGGCGAGAGCCATAGGTGCCGTTGAGGGACGCCACAAACACACCAATTGACTGCCCTCGCGCTTCCCTCAACCCCTCGTCGTCCACCTGTCCGGGCAATAGGAGAAAGAGGGAAAAACATGAGGCGAGCAGCATAGGTGCCGTTGAGGGACGCCACGAACACACCGATTGACTGCCCTCGCGCTCCCCTCAATCCCTCGTCGTCCACCTGACAAGTCACATGTACCAGGATGCCCGAGAGGGGTCAAACACACGAGAGGGGTCAAACACACGAGGCAAGGCGAGAGCCATATTCTGATGAGGCAAGGCGTTAAGTGCCATTATTGAGAACCAATTTAAGCAGCCAAGAGAAAAGGCTGATGTGGCGCATAGTGCCTCTTCTCTTAGTGGCTCTCTTGTGCTCTACCAGAACGCAGCACAGTGCTGATTAACCGGCGTGATGCAAAACACAACTGCGTGCAGCATCATCAACAGCACCATAGAGAGACCACGTGTACCCCTTCCCTTCCCTCGACCCGCCCAATGCACCCCATGCCTGCATCCAATGCACCCCATGCACCCCCTCTCCATGCTCCCAGACATACATCGTCAGCCATGGCCTGCCATTGGTCGGGCGGGATTACAGCTGGCAGGTACTGCGTGCTGATGAGACACGTCAGCACGCGGTCAAAGACGTCCTCTGGGGTCTCTTCCACGGGGCGCACCTGAACCCAGGGGAGGGGGGAGAGGGGGGGGGGGGGGAGAAGGGAGGTAGGCCGGCAGGCAGGCAGAAAGAAAGAGAAGGATTTGACAATGGTGAGTAGTCACAGAGGAAGCAGGGAAGCACACGAGGTGACTTTTGAGTCGACTCAAGAGTCAATGGTAAGCCGTCACAGAGGAAGCATGGAAGCACGCGGCCAAACATGTCCTCCTGGGTCTCGTCCTCTGGGCGCACCTGAACCCAGGGGCAGGAGGGGAGAGGGGGGGTTTCGGGAGGGGGGGTGGTGGGGAATGCGGGGGAGGGAGGGGAGGAGGACGAGGTCAGTGAGTCCTCCTCCTCCAGTCTAGAGTCAAGATGTCCTCTGGGGTCTCTTCTTCTCCACAGGGCGCACCTGATTGAGGGAGGGCAGCCAGGGAGGGAGGCAGGTAGAAACAATTTTTACACAGAGGAAACATGGAAGCACGCGGGCGGTCAAAGATGTCCTGTGGGGTCTCTTCCACGGGGCGCACCTGAACCCAGGGGAGATACAGGGGCGGCAGGCAGGGAGAAAGAGCATGGATTTGTAGAATGGTAAGCAGGCAGCCCCACCAGCACGTCTTGCTGCTCCATGTGTCCCTTCACAATGTGGTCCCACAGGTGGTAACCATCAGCTTTAGTAAGCACCTGCACCACATGGCAACCCCTCACCTGCACCACATGGCAACCCCTCACCTGCACCACATGGCAACCTCTCACCTGTACCACATGGCAAGCCCTCACCTGCACCACATGGCAACCCCCTCACCTGCAAGCCCACCAGCACGTCTTGGTGCTCCATGTGGCCGTGGAAGGCCCTCACAATGCGGTTCCACATGTAGTAACCACATGCACCAGTGAATTGACCACCCGGTCACCTGCAAGCCCACCAGCACGTCTTGGTGCTCCATGTGGCCGTGGAAGGCCCTCACAATGCGGTTCCACATGTAGTAACCACATGCACCAGTGAATTGACCACCCGGTCACCTGCAAGCCCACCAGCACGTCTTGGTGCTCCATGTGGCCGTGGAAGGCCCTCACAATGCGGTTCCACATGTAGTAACCACATGCACCAGTGAAGTGACCACCCGCTCACCTGCAAGCCCACCAGCACGTCTTGGTGCTCCATGTGGCCGTGGAAGGCCCTCACAATGCGGTTCCACATGTAGTAACCACATGCACCAGTGAATTGACCACCCGGTCACCTGCAAGCCCACCAGCACGTCTTGGTGCTCCATGTGGCCGTGGAAGGCCCTCACAATGCGGTTCCACATGTAGTAACCACATGCACCAGTGAATTGACCACCCGCTCACCTGCAAGCCCACCAGCACGTCCTGGTGCTCCATGTGGCCGTGGAAGGCCCTCACAATGCGGTTCCACCACATGCACCAGTGAATTGACCACCCGCTCACCTGCAAGCCCACCAGCACGTCTTGGTGCTCCATGTGGCCGTGGAAGGCCCTCACAATGCGGTTCCACATGTAGTAACCACATGCACCAGTGAAGTGACCACCCGCTCACCTGCAAGCCCACCAGCACGTCTTGGTGCTCCATGTGACCATGAAAGGCCCTCACAATGCGGTTCCACATGTAGTAACCACATGCACCAGTGAATTGACCACCCGCTCACCTGCAAGCCCACCAGCACGTCTTGGTGCTCCATGTGACCATGAAAGGCCCTCACAATGCGGTTCCACATGTAGTAACCACATGCACCAGTGAAGTGACCACCCGGTCACCTGCAAGCCCACCAGCACGTCTTGGTGCTCCATGTGACCATGAAAGGCCCTCACAATGCGGTTCCACATGTAGTAACCACATGCACCAGTGAAGTGACCACCCGCTCACCTGCAAGCCCACCAGCACGTCTTGGTGCTCCATGTGACCATGAAAGGCCCTCACAATGCGGTTCCACATGTAGTAACCACATGCACCAGTGAATTGACCACCCGCTCACCTGCAAGCCCACCAGCACGTCTTGGTGCTCCATGTGACCATGAAAGGCCCTCACAATGCGGTTCCACATGTAGTAACCACATGCACCAGTGAAGTGACCACCCGGTCACCTGCAAGCCCACCAGCACGTCTTGGTGCTCCATGTGACCATGAAAGGCCCTCACAATGCGGTTCCACATGTAGTAACCACATGCACCAGTGAAGTGACCACCCGCTCACCTGCAAGCCCACCAGCACGTCTTGGTGCTCCATGTGACCATGAAAGGCCCTCACAATGCGGTTCCACATGTAGTAACCACATGCACCAGTGAATTGACCACCCGCTCACCTGCAAGCCCACCAGCACGTCTTGGTGCTCCATGTGACCATGAAAGGCCCTCACAATGCGGTTCCACATGTAGTAACCACATGCACCAGTGAAGTGACCACCCGGTCACCTGCAAGCCCACCAGCACGTCTTGGTGCTCCATGTGACCATGAAAGGCCCTCACAATGCGGTTCCACATGTAGTAACCACATGCACCAGTGAATTGACCACCCGCTCACCTGCAAGCCCACCAGCACGTCTTGGTGCTCCATGTGACCATGAAAGGCCCTCACAATGCGGTTCCACATGTAGTAACCACATGCACCAGTGAAGTGACCACCCGCTCACCTGCAAGCCCACCAGCACGTCTTGGTGCTCCATGTGACCATGAAAGGCCCTCACAATGCGGTTCCACATGTAGTAACCACATGCACCAGTGAATTGACCACCCGCTCACCTGCAAGCCCACCAGCACGTCTTGGTGCTCCATGTGACCATGAAAGGCCCTCACAATGCGGTTCCACATGTAGTAACCACATGCACCAGTGAAGTGACCACCCGCTCACCTGCAAGCCCACCAGCACGTCCTGGTGCTCCATGTGACCGTGGAAGGCCCTCACAATGCGATCCCAGAGATAATTGGCCGGCAGGAGGATGTAGCTGGTGGGGCGAGTGCAGGGGGGTTGGAGGTTGAGGAGGGAGAGGACAGGGAGGAGGGGAACGGATGGAGAGAGTGAGTGGGCATTGAAGGCCCGCACTATCCGGTCTACAGGTAGCTGACTAACATGTAAAGAGTGAACTTTGAGACGTCTCAAAAATTCACTCTTTACAAGTGAGTGGGCATTGCAGGCCCGCACTATCCGGTCTACAGGTAGTTGTCTAACATGTAAAGAGTGAACTTTGAGACGTCTCAAAAATTCACTCTTTACAAGTGAGTGGGCATTGCAGGCCCGCACTATCCGGTCTACAGGTAGTTGACTGACATGTAAAGAGTGAACTTTGAGACGTCTCAAAAATTCACTCTTTACAAGTGAGTGGGCATTGAAGGCCCGCACTATTTTTGAGTCGACTCAAAAATCCACTATCCGGTCTACAGGTAGTTGACTAACATAAACACACACCCGCGACTTTTGATGGGTTCGGAGACTACTCTTGGGGCGCCTCAAAACAAGGCCTGCATGATCCGGTCCAGCAAGAAAACACACAGCCAGCCCACTTGTGAGGCGCCTCAAAAGTCCCCTCAAAAGCCTGCATGGTCCGGTCCGGTCCACACATAGTTGACCCAAAACACACACAGCCAGCCCACCCACCCACCCGCCTACTCAACGTGCAACACATGTGAAAGCCTTTAAGTCGACTCAAAAGTGTGTACACACACTCAGCTGCTGCTCACGCACACACACCCACCCAGCTGCTCACCGTGCAACGTGTGTGAAAACCCGGCGATCCGGAAACAACACCTCCAGGCGGGCCTGCAACGGGAGGGGGACAGGGAGTTGAGAGTAGGAGGGTCACGCGAGGGCGGTAGGGTGATGACGCACACACCAAGACAAGGGAGCTAGCTAGACGTATTAGACAAGATGCAGCACTTTAGCAGTACCGCGAGTGAGGGAGGATTACCGCGAGCGAGGGCACGAAGTAGAGAGGAGGGCACGAAGTAGAGAGGAGGGCACGAAGTAGAGAGGAGGGCACGAAGTAGAGAGGAGGGCACGAAGTAGAGAGGAGGGCACGAAGTAGAGAGGAGGGCACGAAGTAGAGAGGAGGGCACGAAGTAGAGAGGAGGGCACGAAGTAGAGAGGAGGGCACGAAGTAGAGAGGAGGGCACGAAGTAGAGAGGAGGGCACGAAGTAGAGAGGAGGGCACGAAGTAGAGAGGAGGGCACGAAGTAGAGAGGAGGGCACGAAGTAGAGAGGAGGGCACGAAGTAGAGAGGAGGGCACGAAGTACATGTCGCTCCAGAGGAATGAAGGGCTTCTCAGCGGGCAGGAGAGCAGGCTTAGGACTTATGAAGACAGACAGCACAGTGAGAATCAGGAAGAGCAGTATCGCGAGGGAGGGCACGAGGTAGAGCGGAGGCTCGAAGTACATGTCGCTCCAGAACATCATGAAGGGAGCAGAGCGGCACCATAGGAGCTAAAAGCGTTTGTGACGTCTCAAAAACACCCTCATTTCACATAGTAGCTAAAAGCGTTGACGTCTCAAAAACACCCTCATTTCACATAGGAGCTAAAAGCGTTTGCTAGGAAGCAAAGGCATGAAGGGAGCAGGCAGTACCGCGAGGGAGGGCACAAAGTAGAGCGGAGGGACGAAGTACATGTCGCTCCAGAACATCATGAAGGGCTTCTCAGCCATCTCCTCCTGCGTGCGCCGGCAGAAGAACGTCCACTCCTCCTCGGGAGTTCTGAGCGGGGTGTGGTGTGCGTGGTATGCGTGTGGGGGTGCGGTGTGGGTGGGTGGGTGGGTGTGTGGGTGGGTGGGTAGGAGTTTAAAAGAGCATGAGGGCATCCGAAGGGGCTGAAAGTGGGAGATGAAAGATTGTATGCTGCTATATTCACACCCAGACAAGCATCCATGCACGCACCACCCATCCTGCTCGTTACACTCAAACTCACATCCAGTCCAGGTGGCAGACCAACATCCACCAGCCATCCCACTCGTTACACTCACGCCCTGTCCAGGTGGCAAAACACCCTTCAGGAGTGCCTCCCGGGTCGACTCAAAGTCAACACCCACCCACCCATCCCGCTCGTTACACTCACATCCAGTCCAGGTGGCAGAACACCCCTCGAGAGTGCCTGTCCGCCTGCTCCGCCACATTGCGAGGGCCCTGCTCCAAGTCCGCCTTGATGCTCCTGAGAAAGTGGGTGGGGGAAGAGTGGGGACGTGGGGATAGGAGGGTTGGGGAAGAGAGGAAGATGGATGCGAAGAAACGGACGGGGTGCATTTAGGCCGCTCTGCTAGATTGCGAGGTCCCTTTTAACAGATCCCCTAAACGCCCCTTTGGGGGGTTGGGGGGGGAAGGGCAGGGAGAAAAGTGAGGAGCGTGGAGGAAAGGGGGTTGGGGAAAGAAGGGAGATGCAAGGGGCCCCCTCGATGAGCCGAGAGGATTGCGCCAAGGATTGCAGCTGGGAAGGACCGCCGAGCCAGAGAGGATCTTAGGAAATAAGGGCTTTCACCACCACGATTGACAGATGCAAGCTGCTCTCTCACCAGAAGTGGGAGGCGGGGATGAGCCAGGAGGAGTGCGCGAAGGGGTTGCAGAGGAACGAGGGACTAGTGTAGGAATGAGGTGGAATGCACCACACGGTACAGGCAGCAAGACAGGCAGCACAACACAGCACAGCACAGCACAGCACAGCACAACACAGCACAGCACAGCACAGCACAGCACAGCACAGCACAGCACAGCACAGCACAGCACAGCACAGCACAGCACAGCACAGCACAGCACAGCACAGCACAGCACAGCACAGCACAGCACAGCACAGCACAACACTCACGGGAATCGACAGATGCAAGTGGCACTCACCAGAAGTGGGAGGCCGGGATGAGCCAGGAGGAATGTTCGAAGGGGTTGCAGAGGAGGGACGGCATGAGGCCATCGTCTGGCATGAGGATGGCTCGATGCGTGATGAAGGCGTATGTGAAGGTGGAGATTAACGACATGATTCGGTTGCCCAGGCCTGAAGGGGGTGCAGGCGCAGGGGAGGGAGGGAGGGCATGAGGCCATAGGAACGGCATGAGGATAGCTCGATGCGTGATAAAGGCGTATGTGAAGGTGGATATTCAAGACATGATGTGGTTGCCCAGACCTGAAAGGGGGTGGTGTGAAACAGCAAGAGAACAAATCAGTGTGGAGATTTAAAGCGTGGTGCAGTTGAGAAGCTAAAAAACTGAACCTGGCTCCATATGGGTGTTTTGAGTAAGAGAACAAACGAGTCCATGAGGGAAGAGATTAAGGCCTATGGAATGGAAGCCGACGGATGAGATCTATCTGCCAAGTGCACTGGTACGTTGGATTTGACGCTCAGGTAGCCAAACGTCAAGCCGCGATTTTACACTAGCGTTTTGGCGCTTGACGCTTGACGCTAGCGTTTTGACGCTGGACTCTCCACTACTTCTTTCCCGGGCTGACCGGAAACAAAAATCGTCCGACATTTCGCGATTTCGATATAAAATCGCGAACTCCAAAACACAATCGTCAAAACAATTTTCAAGACTGCAGCCCAAACCAATCAACTTTCCCGCCAAACCACCGCAGAACCCAGCCAAACCTGGAAACCTGGTCGCAAACCAAGCCCACCCTATGCTGCACCGTCTCTGGGAACCATCCCATTCCGCACTCTTGAGAATATCTAGATCCTAGATCTGCTTTTGAGGCACCCAGAAAACCTTTCCTCCCTTCCGCACAGACAGGTTTCGCCATTTAGCAGATAGATTTAGTGGACCAGGAACAAAGCCCAGACGTTTGACTTCTCTCGGCGCTTCGACCTTTCCCCCCACCACGTTTCTAGCGATTTGACGAGGCGTCAACTCCACCAGCAACAGATGTGAGTGGTGGAGACAGGTGCAGACGGATGAAAGGTGTAGATGGAGATAGGGGTGTAGTGTAGTGCAGGGTGCAGGTGTTTTGGTTCTAGGTCAGGAACCACTGCAATATTGGTGGGGTCCGGGAATGCGAAACACCTAGAGTAGGGCACTAACTGAATCAGCCGATTCTCTCACTCACCGTGCCACTGGCCGGGAATCAGAAATGCATACTTGCACCCTTCCACGTCCGCTGCTGCTGGTGACTAGCTTTCGCCCGGAGAAACAGAATCAGCCGATTCTCTCACTCACCGTGCCACTGGCCGGGAATCAGAAACGCATACTTGCACCCTTCCACGTCCGCTGCTGGTGACAGCCCCTCGGACCTGGCGAATAAGAGAGGGGGCAGGGTGAGGGGGATGGGCGAGGCGAAGTAGGAGAAGGGGAGATAAGGGGTTCAGGTTTTGCTGCTGCTGCGGCTGCTGCTGCTGCTCCACCCTTCCACATGCGCTGCTGGTGATAGTTCGGACCTGGTGAATGAAAGAGGGGGCAAGGTGAGGGGGATGGGTGAGGCGAAGAAGGAGAGAAGGAGATAAAGAGTTCAGATTTGCTGCTGCTGCTGCTGCTGCTGCTGCTGCTGCCGCTGCCGCTGCCGCTGCCGCTGCCGCTGCCGCTGCCGCTGCCGCTGCCGCTGCCGCTGCCGCTGCCGCTGCCGCTGCCGCTGCCGCTGCCGCTGCTGCTGCTGCTGCACCCTTCCACATCCGCTGCTGCTGACAGCCCGTTGACGTGAGAGTGAGACGCGCGGGGCAGGGTGAAGGAGAACGATGACCTCCGTCCTCCGCCATCTGCGGCGTTTACAGCTGGTGCGCACACTCCGTCGTCCGCCTCATGTGTTTTGAGTCGACTCAAACACCGACCTCTGCCTCACGGGTTCATCAGTTACAGCCGTGATGATCCCCTCTCTGTGCACCGCTGCAGCATGCGCATGCGCTCAAACTCCGTCCTCTGCCACACGGATTCCGGCACACGGGTTCCAGGCTGTAGCAAGCACGCATCACACTCTCCCTCTCTGTTGCAAGCACGCATACCACTTCCTCGCTTTAGCGCCCGCAGCACTCACTGGTTAAAATAGAAGGCCTTCCAGTCGGTGATCCCCTCGGTACACCGCTGGTGCATGCGCTCATACTCCGTCTTCTGCCTCGTGAATGCGGCTGATGGCTCCACGTGCGCTCCTGCCTGTCATGTCACCAACCCAAGGCAAGGCAACAGAGCGGGAAAAGGGGAAGAGGCACCCGAGTTGAGGCGGCTGAAAGCACTCGTACTCCGTCTTCTGCCTCACAGACGCGGCTGATGGCTCCACGTGCGCTCCTGCCTGTCATGACGCCAACCCAAGGCAAGTCCAGAGAAGGGGGGAGGTGAGGTGACACATGGTATGTGTTTCGGTTGAAATGACTCATACTCTGCCCGTCTTCTGCCTCACAGACGCCGCAGATGGCTCCACGTGCGCTCCTGCCTGTCGTGGCCCCAACCCAAGGCAAGGCAAAAGAGGGGGTGGGGTGAAACTTTCTGAGAGGCGGTGGAAAAAACTGACACTGTCTGATGTCAACCGATCTGCAATGCTTGTACAAGTGCTAACCTTCCCCGTATCAACCCTCCTTACTAGAACCAACCCTCTCCAGTGAGCAACCTGTCCCAATAGCAACGGCATCACACCCACCTGCCAGTACTGGTGTCGCTCGTGCTTGCTCCAGCACTCCTTCTTGCCTCTGGATCCAACAGCCCATTGACAATGACAACCTTCCCAGTACCAACCTTCTCCAGGAATAACCTACTCCAGCAGCAGCCGCATCACACCAACCTGCCAGTACTGGTGTCGCTCGTGCTTGCTCCAGCACTCCTTCTTGCCCCGAATCAACCGTCTCCGCTTATACATATGCCTCTCGTGCATCATATCATATGACGAAAGACGCCTCCGATGCTGCTGACGTGGCACGTGCGCAAGTCCCTTCCGATGCTGCTGACTTGGCATCTGTAGTTGCATCCGTTCGGTTTCTTCCTGACGTGTCAGTTGTTGGAATTTCTGCTGCTCCTGATTCGGCAGGAATGCCGGTTCTTGCTGCACCCATGGGTCATCATTGGTAGTAATACTCCCGCCTTCCTTCCCTCTATTCCCGCTATCATTCTCGTTTCTCGACAGCTGCAGGCTCGGCAAATCACGGGAAGTACGTTGACGGTCAACGAAAACGATTCTTTCCTTTTGAGTTGACTCAAAAGCATCCTCCCCCGACGCGCCGCCCTCCGCCGGAAGATCCGCGCTGACCTCTTCCCTAGATTCTGCCGACGGAATTTTTATCCGAGTCGCGTCAAGTCGGGCCGCGCCTAACGCAATCCCAGATTTCGCCGAGAAGGAAATCTTTCTCCGAGCCGCGTCAAGTCGGGGCGCGCCGAGCCCATCCCCAGATTCTGCCGAGGAGGACCGCGAAGCTAATGACCATGATGGTGTGAGGTTGAGAGAGAGTAGGAGGAGGAGGAGCAAGAAGTGGGAGTTGAAAGGGACGGGGATGCGAGAGGGAGCTCGAAACGGGCGACGAGGGGAGGTGACTGCTCGACGAAATAGCCGTTTCATGGCTTCAAACTTGTCGGGGAAAACAAAAGATTCGCTCGGTGCTACAGAAGCTGTCCCTTCTGCTGCTGTTGTTGCTGCCCACGGCCCGTTGACAATGACAAACGCGTAGTTTTCACGACTCGGACGGGAGTACTTTTACGACTGCTCACTTGGGACTACTAAGAGGGTAGCACGCTGTTACAAAACGGAATGTCCGTGATCACATGCAGAGCGAAAACAAGAGCGAATGGAGTCGAGTACATAAAACTTGTTTCTGTGCTCCGAGTCGGAACCTGAGAGCTGGACTCGTCAGGGTTGTGGATACGCGACGGCAACTTCACTACCGTAACCGACGGCGACTTCACTACCGTAATCGACGGCGACTTCACTACCGTAACCGACGGCGACTTCACTACCGTAATGGCTGCTTGAGGACGTCCAAACTGCCTCTAGCGCATTCCTACTTGATACTCTGAACCTGGTTCAACGTGAGGTTCCTGCCATGTCTGTAAAGGGGCGCTGGGTGGGACGCAGCCTCATCGACTCGAGCATCAGAGCGGGCGTCGTCGTCAGGCGGTAACTGAACTCATCAGGCAGCGGCATGATAACAGACGTCATCAGGCAGCGAAGCAGCCGGCCTAATGGTTCTATGCTGCGCAGGTGGCGCGAGACGAGACGAGAATCTGACAAGACGAGATGGTATCGTTTGACTGCGGCTGGCGCTTGGCTTCGAGACTGAAAGAGAGCGTAGTCGTTGTCGTACGTAACTGAGCAAAACGAAAAATCGGAAAATAAGGTAACTGACAGCTCAAAATTGCATCGGGATGATGGTTTTGGCTGAAACAATCTCAAAACACAACTGACGGTTTACATTTTGGATGGAACCCCAGAGATTATCCTCAATGCACATTGTTGGGTTGGGAATCGTTCCGTCCGAGGAAACTGGTCTTGGGGGGTGCCGAAGGCTGGGATCGGGCTGGGTTGAGGCTGGGACCCTCGGCTCCGTACGTTGCGGCGCCAGGTTTCCCCAGGGAAGGATGCAGTTGTTTCAACCAAGGACGGTGTTTGGCAATGGCGATGTTTCGAATCCAACGCACACACATTGGAAATGTGTGCAGTGCAACCAACCACGTGAATGGCAGGCGGTGCAAAGCGGAAAGTCTCAAACTTCTGTTCGCTGTCATTCAGCTAAATTGGCTGGCGGTCAGGCAAATTGGCTGGCACCACCTGTGAAATGAAACTTCTGTTACTTGGCGTTGGAAATTGGGACCAATTGCGGCGCGATTCGGGGAAACGATCGCAAGCGCCCAATAGACACGAGACATCGAACCTCGGGGTTTTCGGCACGGACAAGCGCGTGTGCGGGTTGAACTGAGGGACGATCTTGGAAAATCAACCTCAGGTGCCAGTCAACAGTTGCTGCCTTAAAAAGCGGCTTGACTTGGGACTAATACACTCAGAGAAAGTAATTCCCAATCAAGCCCCACTAAGATATTCAAAATTCCTAATCCAATGTCTGAGCCTTGCATTGTCCAGCAAGTCTTCTGCAAAACAGCAGAAAACAAAACAGCAGACTTCTGAAATCCAGATCCAATGTGTGATCCAATGTGTGAGCCTCACACTCCGGCCCTTTGTCTCGTCACGCACAAAACCCCCCTTTGCCCCTCTCTCCTATTGCCACAAACCATCAAGCTCCTCTTCACCTTCCCTCCCCCCCCTCCTCCCTCTTCCTCCTCAACCTAAAATTCTCCTAGTGCCAATGCCAGGCTCAACAAACACCAGGCTCATCCTCCCTCTTCAGCTCCCCTGCCTTCCTCTTCGTCCACTTCGTCCTCTCTCCCATCCTCCTCATTCTCCTCCCCTTCTTCCTCCTCCTCTTCCTCCTCCTCAAGATCCAGTACCAACACCCTCCGCTGAGCCCCAAACACAGCAGCCAAGCCACGAGCAGCTGGATAGGGGGAGCAGAGGGAAGCGGGGTGGGGGCCGGGACAGCAAGGAGACATTTCTGAGTCGACTCATACTTCCTCTTCCTCCTCCCCTTCGTCCTCATCCTCCTCCGCTTCTTCCTCATCCTCCTCCTCAAGATCCAGTACCAACACCTTCTGCTGAGCCCCAAACACCGCAGCCAGGCCACGAGCAGCTGCGGGGGGGGAACAGAGGGGGGGCGGGGTGAGGGACAGGGATAGGCAGCAACAACAACACTATTAAGTCAACTCAAAACTCTTCCTCCTCTTGAAGCGGGATGGGGCAGCAACGAGAACACATCAGAGTCAGCTCAAAGCGCTTCCTCGTCCTCCCTCATCCCTCCTCATCCTCCTCAAAGCCCAGAAAAAAAAAAAAGCCTCCGTTGAACCCTGAACAGCGCAGCTGTAGCAGGTGTGGAGAAGAGGCAGTGGGGAAGTGAGGTGGGGCAGCAACGAGAACAAAGTAAGAGTTAGGCGAAGGCAGATGCGAGGATGAGATGGAAATATGTCGTATTCAGGGCACAGCAGGGGAGGATGAATTATGGAATATATTAGAGAGGGAGCAGCAGGAGGACTGGCAGGGAGGGAGCAGCAGGAGGACTGGCGCGGAGGGAGAAATCAACACTTGGACAGGGATAGGAAGTGGAAGGGGTCAGGCACATGAAAAGGACGCACAGGTGCTAGTCATTTGGAAACTGGTAACACGTGGAAGCAGGTGATAGGCTTACAACTGGCAGCGAGCGGAGCGAGGGGGCGGGCAAAGGTGAGAGGGCGTTGCCTGAGGCCTTCTAAGGGCAGCGGCTGGGAGGGTGGTAGATGCTGCACAAGGGGGAGGGGAGGGGAGAAGGGAGGGAAATGAGAAGGAAGGGCGGTAAGGGAGTGTGATGTTCAGTTACTTGGTGATGGTGAGAGGGCGTTGCCTGTGGCCCTCTGAGGGCAGGGGCTGAGAGGTTGGTAGGTGCTGCAGCACAGGGAAAGAGGGGTGATATGGGAGGGGACTGACTGGCCTTGTGAATATGGTGTTGAAAATAGACAAAGTGACACAAAGACAGTCTGCTTTTGAGTCGACTCAAAAGCATATGGTGTTGAAAGTAGGCAAAGTGACACAAAGAAAGTTATGACCATACATGTGATCTTTTTTAATCTGGTAAAGGAAAGCAAGAAAACGATGACCACGCAGGGAACCTGTCCCATGAATCATGTGCAGCGCAGGTTTTGAAGAAAAGAAAGATGGACCAGATGCAGCAGCACATTCTTGAAACATCTGGTGCTGGTGCACATGTATCCACGCATGTGCACACATGTATCCACGCATGTGCACACACGTATCCGCTCACTCACCCCCACGGGTATGAGCGAGCGAGTGCACGCATGCACGCAAACACAAGCAAGAACACAGTCATACATGCAGGAGTGTGTCTCCTTGGCCCAAGTGGATTCCCATGAACACCAGTCCCCTCCACCGAACCGGACACACCACCATTCTTGCAGGTCGATGTGGAGAATTCTCAACACCCACCTGCAAAACGATGCAAGCAAGCAAGCCCACAGCCGTACCTGCAAAACGATGCAAGCAAGCAAGCCCACAGCCGTACCTGCAAAACGATGCAAGCAAGCAAGCCCACAGCCGTACCTGCAAAACGATGCAAGCAAGCAAGCCCACAGCCGTACCTGCAAAACGATGCAAGCAAGCAAGCCCACAGCCGTACCTGCAAAACGATGCAAGCAAGCAAGCCCACAGCCGTACCTGCAAAACGATGCAAGCAAGCAAGCCCACAGCCGTACCTGCAAAACGATGCAAGCAAGCAAGCCCACAGCCGTACCTGCAAAACGATGCAAGCAAGCAAGCCCACAGCCGTACCTGCAAAACGATGCAAGCAAGCAAGCCCACAGCCGTACCTGCAAAACGATGCAAGCAAGCAAGCCCACAGCCGTACCTGCAAAACGATGCAAGCAAGCAAGCCCACAGCCGTACCTGCAAAACGATGCAAGCAAGCAAGCCCACAGCCGTACCTGCAAAACGATGCAAGCAAGCAAGCCCACAGCCGTACCTGCAAAACGATGCAAGCAAGCAAGCCCACAGCCGTACCTGCAAAACGATGCAAGCAAGCAAGCCCACAGCCGTACCTGCAAAACGATGCAAGCAAGCAAGCCCACAGCCGTACCTGCAAAACGATGCAAGCAAGCAAGCCCACAGCCGTACCTGCAAAACGATGCAAGCAAGCAAGCCCACAGCCGTACCTGCAAAACGATGCAAGCAAGCAAGCCCACAGCCGTACCTGCAAAACGATGCAAGCAAGCAAGCCCACAGCCGTACCTGCAAAACGATGCAAGCAAGCAAGCCCACAGCCGTACCTGCAAAACGATGCAAGCAAGCAAGCCCACAGCCGTACCTGCAAAACGATGCAAGCAAGCAAGCCCACAGCCGTACCTGCAAAACGATGCAAGCAAGCAAGCCCACAGCCGTACCTGCAAAACGATGCAAGCAAGCAAGCCCACAGCCGTACCTGCAAAACGATGCAAGCAAGCAAGCCCACAGCCGTACCTGCAAAACGATGCAAGCAAGCAAGCCCACAGCCGTACCTGCAAAACGATGCAAGCAAGCAAGCCCACAGCCGTACCTGCAAAACGATGCAAGCAAGCAAGCCCACAGCCGTACCTGCAAAACGATGCAAGCAAGCAAGCCCACAGCCGTACCTGCAAAACGATGCAAGCAAGCAAGCCCACAGCCGTACCTGCAAAACGATGCAAGCAAGCAAGCCCACAGCCGTACCTGCAAAACGATGCAAGCAAGCAAGCCCACAGCCGTACCTGCAAAACGATGCAAGCAAGCAAGCCCACAGCCGTACCTGCAAAACGATGCAAGCAAGCAAGCCCACAGCCGTACCTGCAAAACGATGCAAGCAAGCAAGCCCACAGCCGTACCTGCAAAACGATGCAAGCAAGCAAGCCCACAGCCGTACCTGCAAAACGATGCAAGCAAGCAAGCCCACAGCCGTACCTGCAAAACGATGCAAGCAAGCAAGCCCACAGCCGTACCTGCAAAACGATGCAAGC